TTCCTTAGGTGGACCATCAAACACATGTTTGTTCTTCGTAAACAAAGTCTTACTCCTACGGTATGGATGATAAAGTGGTAGAAATCTTCTGTGACAGTCAAACCAACACGTTTTCCTTCTGTGCTTTAGTTGAAAATCATCTGTGTCATCTTGACAATATGGACATTAAGCCTCCCATGTGTTGTCCATCCAAATAACATACCATATGCTGGAAAGTCACTTATTGTCCACATAAGTACTGCCCGCATATAAATGTTTTCTTTGCACGAACATCGTATGTCTCAAAACCATGCGCTCATAGTTGTTGCAACTCATGTATCAGTGGTTGGAGAAACACATCTAGTGATCTCTTAGGATGCTCTGGCCCGGAGACGAGAACTAAGAGGAACAAAAACTCTTGTTGCATGCACAAGCTTAGTGGTAAGTTGTACGGTGTCACAATAACTAACCATAGAGAATAAGTCTTCCATTCTTTCTAAATGGACTGAAACCATCAGTACATAATCCAAGATAAACATTTCTTCTCTCTTCCGCAAATTCTGGATACGTTGACTGGAAATGTTTCCAAGCCTTCGCATCTGAAGGATGTCTAATCTCACCATTTGTGGAATGCTCTGCATGCCATCTCATTGCTTTTGTTGTGCGCTCACACTGATACAATCTCTTCAATCTTTCCGTTAAAGGCAAATGCCACATCCTTTTGAACGGGATCAGAACTCTTCCGCTCGTCTCCTGATAACGAGGTTTCCTACAAAATTTGCATTTATCATGTTCATTATCCGCTCCCCAGTAGATCATGCAATTGTTAATACATACATCTATCACTTCGTACGGTAATTGAAGACCCGCAACAAGTTTCTGAACCTTGTAGTATGAACCCAGTGCAAGATTATCCCCAGGTAGAATACTTTTGACAAAATCAGTAATCGCATCCACACATTCTTCAGCCAAATTATAGTCTATCTTGATACCCATCAATCTAATTGCAGAAGATAAGGGTGAATGAACATCTCTACAACCTTTATACAAAGGTTGTTTTCATGCATCCAACATGTCAAAAAATATCCTAGATTCGGGATTTGGTTCTTCTTCCCCTCTATAATGATCATGTACCATCTGCACAGTACCTACACCATAATCTATATCCCTTCTAGGTACTTCTAACCTAATATCTGGCTGAGGTTCGCTAACATGCTGAGGTTCGCTAATAGTACCATATTTAAAACCAGTTTCTCCATGAAGATATTAAACTTTATAATTACGTGAAAACCCCCTCATATACAAATGAGTCCAAACATCAAATTTTCTTATAATCTATTATTATTACAAGTAGAGTAGGGACATCTTAACATACCAGTTTTTGCATCCGGTTTCTGTTGAACAAGCTCCATGAATTCTCTAATCTCTTGAACGTATTCTTCCGTAAGTAAATTAGTGTTGGGATCCATATGAGGTTTATCCATCCACGAATGATAATAAACTTCTGAAGACATGATTTTCAAGAAATTGTTGTGCTTAGAGAGAGTAAAGAGAGAGTGAGGAGTGAATGAGTTGAATGAGGAGATGTTGCATTTATAGGAAATTGCTTACGGTAATTCGGCGACGTTCCGACGGAATTCCGACGCCATAACATATATATCCGTTGGAATTCCGTCGGTATTTTCTTATCTCAACGGTTATAAAGCAGTCATATGCATTTGTCGGCAACGGTAAAAAGGTTCGTCGGAATATACTGATGACATTCCGACGAATACAACAGTTATATAATTAATCGGAATATCGTTGGAAATTCGTCGGAATATACCGATGAATTTTCGACAACTACAATGGTTATATAATTAATCAGAATGTCGTCGGACGTTTGTCAGTATATTCCGATGAACCACGTTTGGTCAGAAAGTCGTCGGTATATTCCGACGACATTCCGACGAAGATGTATTTTTTGTTTTCGTCGGAATTCCGTCGGAAGACTGTCAAAATTGTCCGACGACTTTTATGTCCGTCGGAATATACCGTGTTCTCTTGTAGTTTCACATTTACTACTAATACTCACATATTCTTAAAACATATCAAAATTACTCAAAATTAAATAATTATATCAATCAATTAATATAGATAATTAACTTAATATATAAATTATATTGTAAATTTTAAATTAATAAAATTAATTATACTTAAAACAAAAAATAACACATATTCAGTGCTTCATAGATCTAGATGGAAAAATCATTAAAGATCTTATAACTAAGTTGGTCTAATTGAGTTAAACTAAGCGCCTCAATTTAATTGAGTTATAACTTACGGTATGATTCCTAAATGAGATGGATTAAAATAGAATAATTGACTTATTTTAACATTGATAACATAAAATATCTCGCACTTTTAAAGTACGAATCAAAATCTAATTATTAATTAAAAGCAGATCTATGGATTCATCGAGTCTATACAAAAATCTCCTATCCAACATTGGTTTTAACCAAAGGATGGCAACCATCAAATCCAAATAAATGTAATTGAAAATATTTGATTGCGTATTAAAATTCCATACAATAAGTTCTATACAAAATGTTAAAATAATAAAATTGGTTTTGTTCCGCTAACTCCGAAATAGTCAAAAATAATATTAAGATCCATTTAACTAACTATATTTGTAGTAAATAGTTAGCAAACAAACAATAGATACATAAAAACCAATATTAAACCAATCTATTTTTGTAAACATTCACCAATCTATATTTAAATGAATAAATTATTAATATTTCATATGGTATATAATAAAAAATATATATATCATGTTAAACAAACTTTACAACATTTTCAAAAAAAAAAAAAATTGACTGTGGATTCGGATTAGATTTAAAAGCATTGCTTGTATCTTTTTGACATCCCAATTTGATTATAAATCACCTTTGTACCACCACTAAGATTAGTTAAATAATTTGTAAAAATAGAATTTTTTCATTGCACCATTTAAATATAAATGCACTATTAGTCTTTAGCATTCGGTTTCGGTTCATGCATTTTGGGTTTTCTTGTTTTGGTTCAAAAAGTTAAGGAACTGTTAAGAAATTTACAAAATTTAGTTTGTTTCAGTTGGGTTATTTCGTTTTCTGGTTCGGTTTAGTAGCAAAATTGGGAATAGGCTAATATGCGCAAAACAAAATGATTCCAATTCAGTTCACGTATGATTCTGTTTTTTTAATAATTATAGATTTATACATTTATAGATAAAATATGTATAATTAGGGGTTTTCAGTTAAAATCAGGTAATGCGGGTTGCTCGGAAAGAAAAATTGGATGACTCAGATAATTTTAATATTTTGAATAAAAATATTTGGGTATTTCTGTTAAATAGTTTTATAGATATTTAGTTATTTATAAATTAAATATAATTAATATTTGTAAGTATATAATTTGAATTTTAAAAATATAGGTACTTATTTGGTTTTCGGTTCGGTTTTAGGTTCCAGAGATATATGATCTACTCGATTCTTTATGAAATTAATTTCAATTTGGATTTCGTTTTTTTCCAGTTTGGTACAATTGGATTAATGGTTCTGGAAAAATTTGCTCAAACATATATACTATCTTATATAAAATTTTATTTACAAAGAATTTATTTAATTTTAAAAACAAATCCATGATTTTCAAGTAATCAAAATCTAGAATGCTTTAAGCCGGCACTGAATTTATGAAACTTTTTCAGATGTGATCATAAAGTGAGAATGTATATTGAGCAACACAACTCAATGAAGGGATTATAGATCATTGTCGAATTCATAAATTGATTGAATCATGTTATATCATGTGATCATGTTTTTAGCTCTGGATCTTTACTCTTGCTAAAGGTGTGGAAAAAAAATCTTGTGAAAACCTTCTTAATTTTGGATCTTATGCTGCAACTGAATTACTTATTTGGAAATGGAATGTTTTGAAATGATTAATTCTATTAGTTCCATAAAAAAATTAATGTTTAATGTGAATGAAATGAAATGTTCATTCATCAATTTCACAAAATATTTAACAAAATACAAAGCAAAACATTCCATAGCAAATTTTGTTAGGAAACAAATGGATATGTTCCATCTTTCTGATACATTCCATTCATTTTGTTTTTTTCCTTTCTATTCCATTTATTCGTTTTTTGATTTACTAGTGACAAGACCAAGTTTATGTGTTTACTGTGGATAGTTTTGTCTAAATCATTGACATTGTAAAGAGAAATAAAGTGAGACACAATGAAAACATATATTGTTTGATAAAACATGGTTTAGAACGTTAACTGATGAGGTATGTTTCTGGATATGTATTTCATTTTCTAGGTTTAGACAGTCGAAGGGAATTTTGTTATAACTGGGGATTTCTACATTCAGATCACTTCAAAGCATAGACAAAAATACTGGTAGAAGAGTTCACCCTAATATTGAAGTCTCCCAGACACGGAGTCCGAGGCGCCGTCAACGCTACTGTTTCTCAACGCCGGCGGTGGCTTAGCTCGCCGGCGTCGCCGCTGTCACATTCCGCTGCTCTTCCGTTTCAATTCCAGCTCCTATCTCGTCGTTGCGTTGGGTTCTCCTCTCACTCGTTTCAGTTTGGCTTTCCTTTGGTTTTCAGTGGCTTCAAGCTCTAGCTCGATGTCCACCCCTGGTTTCGTCGTCCTCCTCCTTGAAAAGCTCCCGGAAGTCTCACCAAAAGGCGTCTCTGCTCACTGTGTTCATCACATGAAAGGCTCATCTGCTTCAAAACCCAGATCTGTGCGACTTGCATCTCGAGCTAAGGCATCTTGGCACCGAGTTAACCGCTCTGTTGTGAAAAATGACTCTCCAGACTTCTCAGTTGTCGACCAAACCTCCATCTCCAGCTACTGTCCCAAAACGCCAAAGCCTCCGTGAAAGCTGTTCTCACCAAAGCATCACCTCGTCGACGCTGCACCTCTGACCCCTATCCGCGATGTCACTTCTCCTCTTGGGGAGAGTGGAAGAGACAGATCTGCTCACCTCATGGTTGAGATCTCCGGATCTGCTAGTCTCACCATTGTTGTCCCGCACACAGTCGTGGCATTCCTCACTCTTTGGCTGGATATAGTTTCCACTATCTCTGGTAAATCTTTTGCGTCCGGTCCGCGACTGTTCTCTGCTCCCGTCCAACCCTTGAGAGACTTCATCTCCACTACACCACTGATACCACTACGCTCTATGTCACCTCCTTCCCGTCATACCGCGCCGAGACTCTACAGGGCTCCAACCATCTTTTGGACTTTGGTTTGTTTGCAGAATCTTCCACTGTGAATTTTTCGTTTAAAGCAACGACTCCTCCAAATATTTGGCTCAATTTCGATATTTTTCTATTCAACTGCCACAATGTCTCTGTGATATACTGTGCAAGAGTGTGGTTTCGCTAGATTTGCTCGCTAATACATCATTGCTGCGTCTCCATCACATTACGCCGTCTCAAGCATCGACGGTTCTTCACAGATTCGGTTCTGCGGTCTTTTTATCCTTCTCCTCGTCGCCGTAACTATTTTGTAAGAATGTGGTCTCGCCAAGTCTTCTCGCTATTACGTCACCGTTTCGTTTCCATCACAATACGCCATCTCAAGCATCGACGGTTCTTCACAGAGTCCGCTCCACAATATCCTATATCATTCCTAATTGTAAGAACTACTGTGCAAGAGTATGGGTTCGCTAGATTTTCTCGCTACTATGTCACCGATGCGTCTCCATTACATTACGATGTCTCAAGCATCGACGGTTCTTCACAGAGTTGGTATCGCAACCCTCTCAGCGGAGCTGATATTTTCTACGGAGGTTCACAGACTTCTTGTTCTCAAAACCCTTTGGTTAGGTTATTCAACGTCGATTTCGACTTCTTTGCGTTCTTTCGAATGCGGGCTTTAGGACTACAAGTGAAGCTTCTCTATGGTTCTCTTCTCTCCTTAGCCATGTCTATCTTTCGTTATGTCTTAGCTATTTTCGTTTATCAGTTTACTGTCGAGGATCTCTCCGGTTATAACCGACTTAGCCTATTGGGCCTTTAATTTTAATATAAGTATTTAGTATTAAAAAAAAAAAGATCACTTCAAAGCTCACCAATGAGATAGCTGAGGTTAATGTGTGTTCTCTTGAGAAATAGTAATATTAAAATTGTGACAATAGTGTTCAAAATATTGAAAAGTCTTGTTCTTTCCTTTAACGCATTTTAAAATATATAAGGTAAACATAATAAAATCAGCGCAAACGCAATCAAATAAGTCAGATTCAACCTATTACCACTATTGATTAATGGATAATAAAGACTTTGAATGTTCACAAGTGGAGTGATGTGTTAGTATACTATTTTCGCGGCTGCGTATTAGATCCACACAATTAATTATATTTGTCTCATTCATCTCTTTGAATATTATTGAGTGGGACTTCAACACTGGAGGCGACTGAGTCAAGATTGGCGTTATAGCTTTCGTCTCCCATTTATTTTATATAATACTAGATTTTATACTCGCGCTACGCGCGAGTCTGTATTAATAATTTAGTTTAGCTTTAAAATAATTTAAAACAAAAAAATTAATTGGGTAACATAATTTTATTATTTAAAATATAATTTTTAATTTAGTATTTGTGTTTTCGTATCTCTATAATATTATTTGAGAAGTCACTTTCCTACGTGTCACTCTCACGTTAACTCTCGCGATGGTTGATTACATAGATACCCTTAATAAATTATTAGATTTTAAGATTATTTTTTCTTTATTTATTTTTTACCTTTTTCCAAATAACATATATAATAAAAAGGAAATATTTCTAAAATTTTAAAACGAAAATATATGTATATAATATGACTTTATTGAAAAGGAAAGTTCACAAAATAGTAATATCCCCATTAATATATATTTTAAATAATATAAATATATTTTTAAAATAATAAAAATATATATATGTTCATGAACATCTAAAAATTTATCACTTACACTTTATTTTCTAATATTTTTTAGAAATCAACATATAATTTGATAAATATTATGAAATTATATTATTTGAGAAGTCAGTTTCCTAAGTGTCGCGTTCACGTTAACTCTCGCGATGGTTGATTACATAGATACCCTTAATGAATTATTAGATTTTAAGATTATTATTATTATTTTTTTTTTACCTTTTTCCAAATAACATATATAATAAAAAGGAAATATTTTTAAAATCTTAAAACAAATTTTAAAACGAAAATATATGTATATAATAGGACTTTATTAAAAAGGAAAGTTCACAAAATAGTAATACCCCCATTAATATATATTTTAAATAACATAAATATATTTCTATAATAATAAAAATATATATATGTTCATGAACATCTAAAAATTTCTCAGTTACACTTTATTTTCTAATATTTTTTAGAAATCAACATATAATTTGATAAATATTATGAAAATACACGTATATTTAAGCGATAAATAAAACTAATTTGATTTGACTTAACTAAAATAAAGAGTAAATAAATATAATGAAAATACATGTATATTTAAGCGATAAATAAAACTAATTTGATATGACTTGACTAAAATAAAAAGTAATTATACTTCAATTTTAGTTTAAAAATATATTTAACTCAATATACTCACAAAATGAATTTCTCGACTGATCTAATTTATATCCAAAATTAAACATCTTCTAATTTTATAATAATAATATATTTAATTTTATAATCAGAGATTGACTTAAAGCGTATCAAAAAAAAAAGAAAATATTAATCAATTTATATGCATGAGACTTCAAAATATTATCATTATATTTATTTATGTAATTTTGAATCAAACTTCAGCTTATTATTTATTTCATTTTAAGCACAATATATATTAAGTTATACATAATTTGACTATAATATATTTACATATCTAAAGATAATAATCAACCGAAATAAAAATATGAAAAATAGATATTATCCAATATACCAAATTGATAACCAAACCGAATATTGATCAAGAAAATAATTAAACCAATAATAATATATCCAAAGTCATATGTATAATTAGAATAATGTAATATTTATTAATATAAATTATACATATAAATTGATTCAAAATTAAAACTAAAACTAAATATTAATCAGTGATTATTAAATTTTACTTTTATAAATATTCATACCCGTGCATGAGCACGGGAAAATCACCTAGTAATTATGTTATCTTATTAGCTATTTAGTTATTTGTATTTGTAAATATAATAATTATGTTGTAAACATATTCATAATTTTTAGAAATATTAATTTATATTTTATAATATTAAATAGATTTCTCAACATGTAAACGGTTAACACGTTATAAATTTTCATCATACATTTTTATATTTTTAACAAAATAAATAATTTAACTT